CTGAAGAGGACACAAAATGGAAAGATCTTCCGTGTTCAAGGATTGGAAGAATCAATATTATTAAAATGTCTCTACTACCCAAAACAATCTACACATTCAGTGCAATCCCCATCAAAATACCAATGACGTTTTTCACAGAAATGGAAATAATAATCCTGAAATTTATATGGAACCACAAAAGACCCAGAATAGCCAAAAGTCATCTGTGAAAAAAATGGAGAAATCACAGACTACTTGTGTGCTTGACTATTCAATGCCTGCAATAAGTTTTCTGACAATGAAAACTACTTTACTTCATTTTCTATTTTATTTTAATTAGTGATATTTAATATTTTATTTTTGTCATTTGTTTCTATCACTAATTTTAATAGGCAGTAAGAATTTTCTGACTAAAATAAGTTAAATGTGTGATTTTAATGAAATATCAATTAGACTTATGGACATAGATACAGGGATGCGAAGATGTGTAATAAATTTCCTCAAAAGTTTCTTCTTATCTCAGTTACTGCTGAGTGATCATGACATGCTTCCCATCTGAGGTCAGCTAAAGGTTTCAACTCTGCACCCCAGGGAGGGGTGAGAGTTAAAACCCATTTACCATTCTTATACTAAATGAACTAGATCCCACCTACTCTCATATAATCAAAATACCTGGAGTATAACAAAAAATATATGTTTTATGCAAGGTAACATTTTATCTGAGATTATACAATGTGAAATATCTTGCTTTTCTTATTCCTTGCAAATATAATAAGTGGTGCTCATGGAAAAGTATCAGGACATAAGAAATAAGAACTATTATATGCTCTATGAATAAGGTATTTTATTTACACTGGATTTATAATAGTATAATAAAGACACACTTGGTGATGGCATGATTACAAAGTACTTTTACTGATTCAAGTTTTATGTTACTCTTAAAAAAACACCAAAAACAATTTCTTAAGTGATTTTGTTTAGCTGCTTCCCTACAAGGAATTGGATAGTAATCCCATTTTACTTAGATACATTTCCCTAGATCTTTTCCAAGTTTCAGTAATGTATGCCTTCAGTTCACGTGAAATATCACTAGGTGACCAACTTTTATAGCATTGCATGTGTCAATTCACTCAACACACATTTTGCATCTTCTATACAAAGATGATTAAGGCTTGGTCTTTTGGGGAACTCAAAATTTATATGTATACAAATAATCACTATCTAATACCTACAAATATAGATATGAAGGAGCACAGACAAGAGATTTGGAGGATTTGAGAAAGTCTTCAAAAGAAAGAGATACTTAATTTGAGTCTTGAAAAATTTGCAAGAGCTCACTACTCACAGGAAAAGGTGAAAGGGGCAGTCTGGGCAAAACATTTAAAAGCTTCCGGGCAAAAAGCCTTGAAAGCATAGAAAGACAACATGTATTTGGGAATTATATTGAAAGAAGAGAACAGTACAGGGCAGTACAGAACAGTACAGTGCATTTTTTAGTTTGTACAGGGCACAATGAAGGGTTTCATTAAAAGTAGTGGCATTAGTAATGAAGATAAGGCCCTTCTGAATAGACTTTTTCAAAGTGATTTGATAAGACTTGGTGATCAAATGTAGTAGTAGGGGGAGATGAGGTTGATGGAATAATCAAAGATGATTTGATATTTTCATCTCAGGTTACTATCTAGAATATAATGATAGTCATTGAAATGGAGAATGTAAGAGAAAGAATATTTGGGGTAGTAGAAAGGAAAACCTTACTTGAAAGAGATACATTAGGTTTTAAATATGTTAATATTTAGATTATCAAGTAAAGGGCTGAGAGATCTAGATTCAGCAGGTAGCTGGAAATGGAGTTTAGGAGCTTGGTATGGCCTGTAGGTTGTGTTATGGGAGACACACTGGAATCACTGAAGCAGAGACAAGGTCGGTAAAGTTGTTGGGCCCGTATTAGATAAAAGTTCAAGCTAGGGTAAAAAAAGCTGATGGCAGGACTTAGATAAATAATTGCAACTCAAAATATGATAAGCAAGAGACAACAATGAGGAGAGGACAAATACAGAGGATAGGATAAGGCAGGCGGTTAAAAACCTGAGCAGATAGGCAGAAACAATGGGCTTTGTGGAAACTAAAAGGGCAGGGCAGAATAGCCAAGGTAACAGATTCAAGGAAGTCACAAAATGTAAACAAATTAAGCAAGAGATTTTGCCAGTCCTGGAGCTTATTGCAGAAGCAAGAACCTATTCCCAAGCATTTTGACTTGAGGCTTCACTCAGATCTATTATTGAAAATACTTCTGAAGAGTAAGGAATCACATTAGAGATAAAGCTGTTCTCGAGTAGCTGCTGTGATAATTATATTTCATACAAGTGTATCTTCCTATGCCAGAGCAAAATCTATCTTACTCTTTGGATATTGAAGAATGAAACACTCAAATTACAAAGACTGTAATTCTCTCTTTCCTCCCTCCCCTCCCCTCCTTCCTTCCCTCCTTCCTTCTTTTCCTTTGTTGCTTAATTCTCTTTTCATTATTTTACTCATTTTCTCTTTTTCTCTTCCCTTCCTTCCTTCTTTCCTCTCTTCCTACTGTCCATCCTTCATCCCTTTGTCCTTCCTTCCATTATTTTGTCTCTGATGAAGAAAAGATCACTTAGAACCTGTTGTATGTTGAGTTAAGCATCTAAACATTATAGAGGATATTTTGAAGTCCAAATATTTTCCAGTGTAGGAAGAAATATCTTACTTATCATGGCTAGTAAATATTTCCTTCTAAAAATGAGTAAAACTAAAATTAAATTACATTCATGTGATTTTGACTCTTGAACATATCAGCACTGTATTAAATGGTGTCTTTAAACTTTTTGATGTGGTTACATGGTTAGCAATTAACTTAAATGTGAAATGATTTAACGCTCAAGTATGGGGCTGGAAGCAAACAGAAATATAGGATTGGCTTTATCATTGTATACCTTTTAACTTAGAAAGCTTCAGTTCCTGAGGTTGAAAATATAACTCATTTTCTGCTGCCCATTTTGTGATTTTTATGGATTCCTTATTTTTAACTTGGTAACTTTTATAAATCATTGAGCTATTTCTTATAAAAGTTAAATCTAAGATTGTTTTTTAAGAACGTAAACAGAAAGGTTAATAAAATATTTGATAATAGCATTCTCTGGTACTATCCAACAACATTATTATTGATTTTTTTCTTATTTTCTTATTTACTTGTAAATAATTAAAATTGTTTCAGCTGAAATATTTGTGCAGTTCTAGCCTTTTGTACTGAACATCATTTCACAAGGGAGATTTTGGTAAATCTTGTTTGGTTGAAACACATTGTTGTTACTTTAGGTGCTGTCTATTCTGATGCCGAGTTTCCAATTGCCTTGATTAAAGTGGAAACATTCTATGGCTTGGATGACTTACATTTCAAATTGGTTTGAGCAAGATGATTGGTATGAAGGACTGCAAAGAGTAAGATACATTTATTTGTAATTACGATTTCCTGCCATTTTTTTTTTCTGCTTTTCTTCTCATATAGTTCTATTTCTGCGTGATTTATATTGTGGACATTTTTGCCTTGCAAAATTCTGAGCGTGAATAAGACACTTATTTGCTAGTTTTAAAGCAGAAGTAAGAATATAATAAGTGTAACTATATATTGAAGAAAGGGCGTTTTTTTCTATCCTAATTTCAGATGAGTTTGTAATGTTTTCAAATTATCTTAGGCTTTAAATATAAAATAACATTTTATATATTGAGATTAATATATGAAAATAGCAGTAATTTCAAGCAAGTCTTTCCCATAAAGAAAATCATTTAATGAAACAGAAGATAAATGTATGCTGATACTATTTATTATACAAATATTTTAAAAGGAAAATAAAACAATTCTGAAGAAGAGTGCCATGTTGCATGTGTTAAATTTTTAGGTAGTTAATTACATTTGAAAATAAACTGCATTGTTAGTGTGAAAACATTTACATAGTATTTTGAAAACAGTATTCTGACCTGTTATAACAATAATAGAAAAAATGCTATTTAAAATGTACCTTGTCACATGGATTTATTCTAGAATAATATATGATTTCTCTTTGATTATTTTCACTTTTTAAATTTCTTGATTATTTAAATGAAGACAATTTGTGTATTTTTATTTTATTAATCAGTGAGACAAAAAAGCCAGAGTATATGCTATTTTACTAGATTTTTCACCACTGTTGTTCAAGAGCATAGGCTGCCAAAGATATACAGTACTTTCTTTTTCTTGAGATTTCCATCCTAAGCACATTAATTACAGATATTTTCTCAGTATTACTTCTTTTTAGTTATAAATCCTCAACCATTTGAAGCCTTTTGTACTTTTTTTCCAGATACTTGTTTTGTAAGCTGTGAAAACATCTGGTAAACATTTCTGGAGCCAGTAAATATCTAACTCTGGAGAATAATCCTCATACTGTAAATCCTAAAGCATTCTTCAGAAAAGGAGTTGAGAGTTAATGAGCAGTTTGCCATCCTGAATTTCGATTTCAGGTATAAATGATGGAACTATTTTAGCTTATGAGTTTAATAGTAATACTCCAAGTCCCACTTACACACACACACAACACACACACACACACACACACACACACACTGCCGGTATCCTTGTTTGTATTGTATGCAGGAATGGGAACTGATTTTAAGAAAAATGCTTTTTAATGAAACGTGTTTCCTTAAAATGACTTTGGAGCAGCTCATGGAGATTATGAGAATTCAAAATCTTTCCCTTCTTGCCCTTTATGCTACTATGGGCCTTTATAAATGAATGCCTGGTTTTGAAACGTATTAAAAGTGCAGCTGCTGTTAAAGTATAGAAATAGATTGACCCTAAAATTACTATCTTATTGTGAGTTTGAGCTCCTTCTGGCTTAAGTATTGACCAGCTCTCATACGTATGTAGATGGAAATGAAAGCTCCTATTCTGATTGAAAAAAATTGACACATGAATATTGACCTTAATTTCTTTCAGAAATCCAGCTTATGCCCTCCTGGTGCTTACCACAGGCTGTGTTCTTACACTGAGTGTATAGAAAGAGAAGGTAGAATAAACCTACCCCATATATGCTTCAGCCCAGGACCTGTGCCTGGTCTGTATTGTGAATGGGGGAAACATAGAATTTGAAAAAAAATTCAGTGTATTATTTTTCATTTGTTATTTGTATATGCATATATATTTGTTATTTGTTATTTGTATATGCATATATATTACATATAATAAGCATTCAGCATAGCAGATTTTTAAAGCTGTTTTTTAGAATGTTCACAAGAAGAGGTAAGTTGTGTTTTTGAGTTAAAAATTGTAAATTAGAAATGTAATGTTTAGAAAGTCACATACAAGTGCGAATTTGATTTTTAGAGCACTAAGTTGACGTTTGTATTTTGACATAATTACATAATTAGTATTTATGGCATGTGACTATGTTTATACAAACACATATATATGAACTTTAGTTTTATAATTTTTGTTATGATTATTTTATATCATAATAATCTTACATATTTAAAAGCGAGTTTTATTACCTGTGCCAAACTAATGTAGATATATCCTTATCGCTTTCTTTATTCACTTTGCGAAAAGCATCTTCACCATGTATTCCCTATTGAACCTAAGAATAAATTTAATATGATTATTTTTTGTGTATGTGTGTTTCATATGGTATGAGATTTAATCCAAAAATACAATTTGAGTTAAACAACAACAAAAAAATACATCATTGCAAAGGCTATAGTTGCCAGGCGACTGATGTTGTCAGTTCTATGTGGGGTGACACAATGCTCAGAGTTTCTTCCTAAATCCATTATAAATATGCATTATTCAGTGAGCTACAGTGTTTAGTACTTCATTGGCAAAGTGTGTGTGTTGTTTCTGGGCCAAAAAGATTGTATATTCTGAAGCAACAAATCTTTGAAATAGACATGAAAATTCTTGAGTGGTTCACATATTAATGAAACATTCTAAAGTAAGGATAATAAAGACTTTGTAAAAGATTTATCTGCAATATATTACCTGTCTAAATATGTTTATTTACCTTTAAATGTGACATATTTTGTAGAATTTATATTTAAAATATAAATTTATATTTTGAAATGGACTTTCAGTGGACCATTTTCTGTTTTTAGTAATGCAGAATCATGATTGAGTAACAATTGATGCTGACTACAAAGATAACAAAAGGCTCTGGACATTTTGTTTCATCTCCTTGGCAATTGTAGATATAATTTAATTAAGACTGCATAATTATTGCATATCTTTTTTAGTCCTTTTGAAAAGAAATCTAGAAATTCACGTATTAGACTTTGCTTGAATACATAATTCAGACTTTAAATGCAATGATATTTATATATTCAATAATGTATGATATGCTTTTTATCTTTTATTTAGAATCATAGATTTTTTAAAATATCTATTGTTTTGAAATATCTATTTTGTTTTGAAATATCTATTCTGTTTGTCCTATTTATTATTTTAATATCTGGTTTAGCAAGTTATTCGACTCTGAATTTCAACAGGATTTAAGTTGTTGGATTGTAAGACCTGTAAAAGCTATTTAAGATCAAAGGTACACCAAATTTTATGTCAACATAGAAATGCTTGTATTATCTAATTTTGGAAACTAAAAAATAATAAATCAAGATATACTCTTAGTTAAAGTCAAAATGTGTTGGCACAAATTTAGAACTTTCTTTTTGTTTTTAATAAATAAGCAGAGAAACTGCTGGTTTCTAGTTCAGGATGAAAGCAGCTTAGAAGTTGCTACTCCATTTTAACCAGTAAAAAATTGAACACTTTGAAAAATCAACAACTCTTCCTAGATCCACCTGAGAAGTAAGGGCACAAGGCAAATCACTGCCCTCAAAATGATTGAGGTAGAAATGCGGTTGCAGAGAATCACAACTTACCAGAGCAGAAATCAATTAGCAGAAACCAACCTGGGCTTCGCTGCCAGAGTAAGAAAATCTGAACTGTAACTGATAAATTGATGGAAGCACAATATGGTCAAGTCTGAGAGTTAAAAACTTCACAGGAACCCAGTAGTGGGAGTAGTGGGGTAGCTTTTGAACATTTTACTTCCAGGAGCTCTAAACTGGTACTCTCAGTGAATATTAGAGAAGAATATCCTCTTGCTTCCAGCAGCGGGAGGGGAAAAGAAACCACTTAAATTACACTAGAGCATTCTGTTCTTTATTTTTAACCAACTTTTAAAATAATTCATATAAAATTATGGAGTACAAGTACAATTTTGTTACATGCATAGATTGCATAGTGATCAAATCAGGGCTTTTAGGGTATCCATCACCTGAATAATGTACATTGTACCATTCAGTAATTTCTCATCATCCACCCCTCTCACTCCTTCACACTTTGGAGTCACCCTTGTCTAACATTCCACTTTCGCGTCCATGTGTACACTTTTTTTTACTACCCACTTATGAATGAGAGCATGTGATATGTGACTCTTTGTGCATGGCTTGTTTCCCTTAGGATAATGACCTCCAGCTCCATCCATGTTGCTGCAAAATACATGATTTTTGATGGCTGAATAGTATTCCACTGTGTATATATACTACATTTTTGTTATCCAGTCATCTGTTGATAGACACTTAAGTTGATTCTATAGCTTTGCTATTGCAGATAGTGCTGCAATAAACATATGAGTACAGGTATCTTTTTGCTATAATGATTTATTTTCCTTTGGGTAGATACACAGTAGTAGGATTACTGGATCATATAATAGCTCTAATTTTATTTATTTGTGAAATTTCCACGCTGTTTCTCATAGAAGGTGTATTAATTTACATTTGCACCAACAGTGTATGAATTCTCTTTTCCCCACATCCTCACCAACATCTATTATTTCTATCTTTTTAGTAATAGGCACTCTGACTGGTGGAAGATTATATCTTATTGTGGTTTTAATTTGCATTTCTCTTATGATCAGTGATGTTGAACATTTTTTCATATACCTCTTGGCCATTTGTATGTCTTCTTCAGAAAAATGTCTACTCATGTCCTTTGCCCAGTTTTTAATGGGATTATTTGTATTTTTGTTGTTGTCGAGTTATTTGGTTTCTTTGTATATTCTGGATATTAGTCCCTTGTTGGATGAATAGTTTGCAGATATTTCCCCTTTTCTGCAGGTTATGTGTTCTCTCTGTTGATTATTTCTTCTGTTGTGCAGGAGCTCTTTAGTTTAATTAAGTCCCATTTGTCTATTTTTGTTTTTGTTGTCTGTGCTTTTGAGGTCATAGTATACATTCCTTGCCTAGATGAATGTCCATAAGAGTTTCCCCTAGGTTTTCTTCTAGTATTTTTATAGTTTCTGATCTTGCATTTAAGTCTTTAATACATCTTGAATTTTTTTTTATATGGTGATAGATATGGGTTTAGTTTTATTCTCCTGATTGTGGATGTCTAATTTTTCCAGCACTGTTTATTGAAAAGGGTGTTGTTTCCTCACTCTGTGTTCTTGTTGGCCTTGTTGAAAATCAATTCACTGTAGGTATGTGGCTTTATTTCTGGGATCTCTATTCTCTTCCATTGATCTATATGTCTATTTTTTATGCCAGTGCCATGCTATTTTGGTTACCATAGTCTTGTAATATAATTTAAAGTCAAGTAATGCATTGCCTCCAGCCTTATTCCTTTGGCTTTGGATTGCATAGGCTATTTGTGCTCTTGTTTGGTTCTGTATGAATTTTAGGATCATGGCATTCTGTTCTTAAGACCTAACCTCCAGAGAACCTATTTGTCCGGAGTGTAACACTCTAGAATTTCATAAGATCCTTACCTACCTGGGAGAAGGAAAATACCCAACACCAGCCCTTCCTCAGCCATTGTGTCCCACCTAAGCAGGGATGGGGGGACTAAGAAGCACTGGTCATGGGCACGTGACTGAGGCCTAATCATAGGACTTTATAATGCTCACTCTACCCCCACATCTTACCACTACATTACTAAAGGCCTGTTTACAGCATTTTCTTTTATGAAGTTCATCATGTACACCTCACAAAAATTTACATGATAAACAAAAAGGCAAAAAAATACAGTTTGAATAGACAGACAAAGCATCAGAACCAGAGTCAGATACAACAGAAATGTTGGTATTATCAGACAAGGAATTAAAAAAAAACTGCAATTAATTTGCTAATAGCTTTAATGGTAAAAGTAGACAACATGCAGGAACGGATTGAAGGAGAAAAAAGTTGGGAACTAACACTACCCAACTTAAAGAATTATTATATAGCTCCAATCAAAAAGATAGCTGTGGTATCTGCAAAAGGATAGACAAATAGATCAATGGAACAGAATAGAGAGCTTAGAAATAGACCCACATATATATACTCAACTGATATTTGATAAAGAAACAAAGGCAATACAGTGAAACTAAGATAGTCTTTTCAACAAATGAGGCTGGAATAACTGGATATACAATGTTGAAAAAAAGAATCTAGACACAGGCCTTATATATTTCATAAAAAATAACCCAAAATGCAACATAGGACTACATATAAAATGCAAAACTATGAAACTCGTAGAAGGTAACATAAAAGAAAACCTGGATGACTGTGGGTTTTGCTAGCACTTTTTAGATACAAAAGGTATGTTCTATGAAATAAATAATTGATAAGTTGGACTTTATTAAAATGAAAATCTTCAATTTTAACAATATCAACAGAATAAGAAGGCAAGGCACAGAATGGAAGAAAATATTTGCAAAAGACACATCTGCTAAAGATCTGTTATCCAAAATATACAAATAATTCATATAACTCAGTAATTAGAAGATGGAACAGCCTGGTTTTAAAGTGGGCAAAAGAGCTGAACAGATACCTCACCAAAGCATATATATACATGACCAGTGAGCATGTGAAAAGATGTTCAACATCATTTGTCTTTGGGAATTGCAAATTAAATCAATTAGATACCACCTCATATCTATTAGAATGGCTAATATCCAAACACCAGATGCTGGCAAGGATGTGGAGCAACAGAAACTCTCATTTCTAATGGGAATACAAAATGACACAGACCTTATGGAAGACAGTTTGATGGGTCCTTACAAAGCTAAACATATTCTTATTATATGGTCCAGCAAAAAAGCTGTGTCCACCCA